AGAGGTTCAGCTGGTGGGCGGCGTAGCAAACCGCGTAGGACCACAGAAAATGGGGCGCACGGGCATGGATTATGGAGGTGCGGCCGATTTCCATGACCAAGATTATGCGGCGCTCAGCAACCCCATTATCCTGTAGGGACTCCGAAAGCGTCTAGGACTGGGTGATGCCCTGCGCGCTACAGAATTCGGCAAGAACGCCGGAGCAAAACTCACCCACACGGTTGGAGTAAAGACACCTGACACGAAGGCCTCGAGTGGTCTCAGTGGCTAGCAACCACCAGATCAGCGTAGAATTCACGTCGGACTTCTTTGCAACGGTGGTATAGTGGGAGTAGTTGTCAACGACCACCAGAAAGAAGCTCTCCCTCTCAGGCCCAGGGCGAGGGGCGGGGCCCCAGACGTCCAAGTGGAGAGTCTGGAGGGTGTGGTGGCCGGACGAAGGGAGGAAGAGTGAGGAGTGGCGCGCAGCTGACCATCGGCGCAAGGAGTACACGACGGCACAAGCGAATGAGGGAGCGATGTCAGAATCCCAACCACTAGACCATTGGGATAAAAGGGCTTGCTAAGTAGCGGGTCAGTGCGCCCATAACCCCCCAGGACACCGAGCCTGTAACCCTTCCCTAGGATAAATCGGGAATCACCAGTGGACCTCTGACACCCCCCCACACTGGGATGCCCGAAGTGCACACACCGAGATTCGAACCCGAGACCTTCGCTCTGATACCATGTCAGAATCCCATCCACTAGACCATTGGGATAAAAGGGCTTGTTAAGTAGCGGGTTAGTGTGCCCATAACCCCCCAGGACATCGAGCCTGTAACCCTTCCCTAGGATCAATCGGGGATCACCAGTGGACCTCTGACAAGCGACGCAATGACGCGCAAGAGACCTGAGACAATACGCTGGCTAGCCATGCTGTGGAGGCGTGGGAGGGACGGGTGACCAAGATGGTGGTGCCACTGGAATGTTGGGTGGGAGAGGGACCTACTGGAGTATGATGCAACTACCTGACCAGTCGCAGCTACCTGGGGGTACGCAGTGTGAAGAACGTAGAGACTTGAGCCGGGCTCCGTTGAACGTGGAAAGAAGCACCCCGGTGGAAGCGACCGTACAGATTGCAGTACTCCCGTGCCCGGAAAAGGTGACTGTGATCCCACGATCCTGAAGATATCCAACACCCACCAAGTTCCGAGAGAACGAGGCGATGTGGAGACCAGAGAGGACACTAGAGGGAACAGGCGGACAGAGAAGGGTGGTAGAGCTGCGTGCAACGACTAGTCGTGGAGTAGGATCAGCCAGTGTAATCGGAACCAGAGTAGAAAGCGGAGTGGAGATGTGTGGTCACGGAAGAAGCATTGAGACCCGCTAGAGTCCAGCGTGAAAGAGAGCGACGCCTCAGTCGTAGGTGCACCTGGGCTAGAAGCACATACACCTACTCTAGCAACTGGCAAAGAACCTAAACTAAGAACACGCGAGCAAATGGATCCAGCAGCACTAGAGTCCACATCGGCATACATCATAGAAACAGAGTCTAATGACTCAATAAATTCTAACGCAGACATGTCTCACAAAGCAATTCCACAAGAGCGAGCAAGCGGGGGCCAGCCTGGAGTGGGGCCAAGGCTGTACTGTGCGCGGACGTGGTAGGTGAGCTGCGCAAAGCACTGACCCGGAGCGTGGAAACAGCCACAGCGCTGACCCACACGATCGCACGTCTGAAGCACGTACGAGTAGGAAGGCGGAGTGACACCACGAGACGCCAAGCTGGGCGGACCACCGCCACGACCAGCGCTCCCTGGTCCACCAGGTGCCCACTGCTAAGGCTGCTGATGCACGTGCCGCTGAACCTGCCGCTGTGGCTATCCCCGTTACTGCGGTTGTCCCTGCTGTGGCTGCTGCTCTCAATGTCCAGGAGAGTTGTCTCAAGGACGTCGATAGTGAGCGCATTAGGGTGCTTCCAAAGAAGCGTGTCATGGACAGGTGGAAGGCGGTCAGGGGAGCTAATGACAATGAAGTGAATAGTGACCGCCAAGGGTGGGGGGGGGGGGGGGTAGTGCAAGCTTGGCCTAAGTACAAGCAACACGGTAACTGACGTCTAGGGAGCGCAGGTAGGTAATAAGTTCAGCAGTGCGGTGAAACGCACCTAGGTCGGGAAAGAGAAACGGCAAAAAGAGGCGACCAAGAGAGCGGAGGTGGGAGTGGAATAACGTGTCTTAATTGCAGCGAGCAGGTCCTTAGCAAATCGAACTCGAGAGAAGTGAGCCTCCTTAGTCTCGGAGAGACGGCTGGCGAGGGCAATACAGGCCGCAGCGTCACGCGACGGCCATACCGAACGAGCTGTATGGGCATGTCGAAGCGCGCCTAAGTCGCCTCATCAGGCTCAGCACCCAAGGAAGCAAGGGGGGGAAGGCTCGGGCAGGTCACCGGAGGCGTGCGCCTAGAGGGTATCATTATCTTGGCGTTGGCTCTTGAGGAACCACTCAGCACGGATTAGCCAGAAGGGGAACTCTAAGACTCTACCCTCAGCATCAAAGCGGAGTATGCGAGGGGCTGCCATAACGAGGGAACTACCGGCGTAGAGCATAGGGCTAGTTGTGGCCAGAGCTAGAAACGAGCGAGGGTGTATGGGGCCCGAAGAGACGAAGTGAGGAACGGCCTGAGCTAGTAGCGACCGAAGCCACAGTGGCGAGGCTAGAGTGTGAATCGAGAAACGAGCGAGACGAGGCAAGGAACACTACTCAAAAGACAGAGCCGAACCTAAGTTACGCTAGCTAAGTGTACTACGGCTGCCAGCCACTGCGGGTGGAACGCTAGTGACAGTAGGCGTTGGAAGGTGCTGCAAATGTAGTTAGGTGCGGTTGGGGGTGGTCTAGTGTGGTGGGGAGCGGTCGGGTACGGTATCGTGCGGTCAAGGGGCCTCGGGGCCTTAGAGTAGAGGGTTGCGGGGCCTGAGAATAGAGGATCGCGGGGCCTTAAAACAGGGGGTCGTGGGGCCTTAAAGCAGGGGGATGCGGGGCCTTAAAGCAGGGGGGTGTGACGCCATAAAGCAGAGGGCCGCGGGGCCTGGTAGGTGGGGCGCGCGAGGTTGAAGCTGCTGTGCTCACGCTCTGCCTGAGCGCGCTCTGCCTGTGCGCGCGTAATTGCGGTGCGCGCTGCATGTACGCTTGCTGTTGTGCGCGCTGCAGTGTATGCACATTGCTATGCATGCGGGCTGTGCGCAGTGCTAGGCACGCTGCGTATGTGCGCTGCTGTGCGTATGCGCGTTGCTCTGCAGTGCGCGCAACTCCTACTGCGCACGCTCGCGGGTGCAAGGCGGGGCAGCGCTGGGCAGCGGGAAGGGACAGGACGGGGGGGGTCACAACCAGCTAAGGGACAAGGCTAGCAGCGCGTGGGTACGGGGCAGCGTGTCGGTACGGGGCAGCGTGCGGGTACGGGGCAGCGTGCGGGTACAGGGCAGCGTGTGGGTATGGGGCAGCACGCGGGTACGGGTACGGGGCGTTTCGAGGTAGCACGCTATGCACAACTGGTTACGTGCAGGGCGGGGCAGGGCGCGGCCTGCGAAGGAATGGGACGGAGTGGGCTAGGCTAGGGAACGGAGCGGGGCGGGCTAGGCTAGGCGCGGAAAGTTACCTATTCGTGATATCATATCAAAGTTAGAAGCAACGGAATGTGGAGTGACTACCGTAAGAGGATGGGATACATGTATGCAACCCTAAATGTGTTATATCCCTTATAGCTAACCTCACTGCAGCCTAACAACAATATTTATAGTTTGACACACCCCCCCCCCCCCCCCCCCCCCCCCCTTCCCCATGTTAGCTACCCGGGGGTTTTCAATTTTGGGGGGGTCTTGTATCCAGGGGATTACGGTACGTGTAATTATAGAATAAACACGTATGATACAACGTTACACGCAAATCAATCTAGCTCTTTCTTTTATGTCAGGCCTGCGCGGATGGATTGGTTTGTTTGTCATTTAAAAACCCCCTTAAAGATAGCACCACCCCTCAGGGGCTGGTAATCATAAGTAAACCCTAGGTTGCTGCTGCATGCGGGCGAGGGATTACGATACAATCACAATTGTTAGGGCGTTTTGAAACTAGTCGAAAAAAAGAACAGTAAACTGAGGAAAAATGAGTAATACTATTTTATCAACATTTTTATTGTTCCATTCAAAATTATCCTACGATACGTGTTGCTTTTTAACTACAGGGAAAACTATGTCATTTGATAGGGAATGTTATTTGACGTGCTTTTTGTCGGAATTCCGGTCTTCCTATTCTTGCTCCAGGCTCTTACCCTCTCTTAGCTGGTTCTCCTGATCAAATCCCTTGTAGTATGCCTTCTCTCTCTCTCTCTCTCCTCACTAAATCGAAAGAGCTTGGGTTAGACGCACCACATCTGGCTTAGCTAGCATGGCTGACTGCCGCTTGAACTGGCTTCTCTGAGGCTTAGAATTCAAATTCCTTTAGCTAAGATGAGAAACCAAACAAGCAAGCAATCGGCTCCTCAACCTCCTGCATTCCTAAGTACTGTCATTCACGCACTTATTGTTGCTCCTGATATCTGTTGCTGCTTTCGTTCGATTTCAGCTTCGTTCGGTTCGCCCTAGGCTCGGTTCCCGCCTACTGATATGCTTCGCTACTGCCTTCCTTACTTCCTCTACACTACTCTGTCACACAAGTATATCAAGGTACTTCCTAGTGCTGCCTTTATTAATTGTGTGACATATTTTCTTTGCATAATTCGTCAGAGAAGGCAGCTCATTTTCTGATTATCATGGGCTACCAGAATAGCGAGTAACGAGTATGGCCTCAACTAAAGCTGCTTGGCATCATAGCACCTACATATCAACCATGTTCGGACGCGACTCGCGGTAGTTTCCGATGGAGTGCGCGCGATAGAGTAGAACGCTTTCAGTTTTCTTGCAGCCTCACGCGTCAGAAGGGTGCCTGCCATCTGCACCTCACCTTCTCTCTTCGTCTCCTCGCGCCGTTATCATGATCTCCGCCAAAACTCCCCCGCCGGCCGAACGCGTTGCTGGAGCGGCGAGCTGCAGCGCGGGCAGGCGCGCGGCCGCATGGGATGCTGCCGCCAGCGCTGAAGTGCGTGTGCGGGCACCGGCGACCCACGGCAGCAGCGCCCGCCTCGGAAGAGCGAGAGCTCGCCCCTTCCATAACGGATGCTTCTGCCAGGACCTTGGTGGTGCGGCCCGCACGCCTCGCCATGCGCGCGCCATTATCGCCGGCTCGGCGGCGCCAGCCGGCTCCCGCGGCCCAGCGCCCCAACCGTTCCCCTCGCGACCCCACTCGGCCCGTGTAGCGGCTGGCGGCGGGTTGCACGCGGCGAGCGCGGGGGGAGCGGAGGAGGCGGCGGCGGAGCGGGAGGTGGCGTGGGCGCGCGGCGAGGAGGGCGTGTGGAGCGTGGTGATCCCCACGTACAACCGCCTGCCCATCCTCACCCAGTGCCTGCGCGCGCTGGAGCAGCAGCGCGGCGAGCGGCAGGCCGGCGTGCGGCGGTACGAGGTGGTGGTGGTGGACGACGGGTCCGACGACGGCACCGTGCGCGCGCTCGCCGCCATGGGCGTGGCGTCGTGCGAGGGGCTCGCGCAGGGCGCGGGGGAGGGAGGGGCGGGAGAGGCGGTGGATGGCGAAACGAGGCAGGCAGCGGTGGCGTTCCCCCACGTGCGACTGGTGCAGCAGCAGCACGGGGGCGCGACGGCCGCTCGGAACTACGGCGTGCGCGTGGCGGGCGGCAGCACGATCGTGTTCATCGACTCCGACATGGTCGTGTGCCCCGGTGCGCTGCCCGCCCGCTGCCGCGCTGATGCAGGCGCGCACGAGCAAGGCAGGGATGGGGGAAGGGGGGGAGAGCTGGTGGGGAGCCGGGGGGGGGGTGGACGCGGGGAAGAGGGAAAGGCTGGTTGATGAGTGGGACGGGGGGGGCGAGACGGAAGGGAGATGGAGAGGGGGGAGGGGGGAGATGGAGGCAGTGGGAGATGGAGATGGGGAGCGAGATGAGCCGTTGATGGAGAGAGGGTGGGAGTGGTGGGGGGGGAGGGATAAAAGAAAGGGGAAGGGGGGGAGAGGTGAGGGGACATGGGGGGGGGGAAGAATGGGGACGAGATGGGCGGAGCTGGGGTAAGATGCGGGAGAGTTGGGGTAGAGGGGGAGAGGATGAGAGGGGTGGAAGATGGAGAGGAGGGAGGAGGTAGAGGGGTAGAGGAGGTGGGGGAGAGCGGGGGAGGGAGGAGAGTGGGGGAGGGACGAGAGTGAGTGAGGGAGGAGAGGGGGAGAGAGAGAGGGGATGGGAGACTGACAGGAGAGAGGAACGCTGCAAGAGGAAAGGGGATTGAGGGAGGTCGAGGGAGAGGGAGATGTGGGAAGGAAAGTGGGAAATGTAAATGGAGGACGGAAGGAGGTGAGGGCACAGAGAAGGAAGGAGAGGGAGGGGGGAAGTGGAGGGGAAGAGGGACTCACAAACGCATACTCAGACTTGACTTGCCTGCTCGCAAGTCCTACTGCTTAAATTTCTGCTGCGTCCTCTCAACCCACCGTCGCAGGTTTCCTAGCAGCGCATGCGCGTGCTCTTGCGGAGGCAAGGAGCAGGTTTGGGGACGAGCGCACCTTCTCGTACGGGCGGGTGGTGAACACCAGCAACTTCCATGACCCCATGGCCGAACCCTTCAAACTCACTGTGCGCCCCGCCACTCGCCTTGCTGCCCTTTCTGCAACACGATAATGGTTCTCTTGGTTCCTGCCTGCGTGCAAGTCCGTTTAGTATCGGCACTCACGTCATGAGTGTGTGCACGTGCTTAGCTGCTTGATCTCCCTCCCCCCCCCCCACCCGCGTCATGACTCGTGGCGGGTGCTGGCAGGACTACTCAGCAGCGTTCTTCGCCACGGGCAACGTGGCCATCGCACGCCACATGCTGGCTGCCGCCACTCTCCGCCTCACCCCGCCTGCTGCAACCGCGCGCTCCTCCTCTTCCTCCTGCACCTCGCGTGAGGTGCTCACGGCAGTGGAAGGGCAGGCTGGGGGAGCGGTCGTGGTTGGCCAATCACGGGGGGAGGAGGGGCGTGGAGCGGAGGAGAAGGGGGTGGAGCAGCAGTGGCAGGAGATGGGGCCGTTTGATGCGGACTTCAGCAGCTACGGCTGGGAGGACCTGGAGCTCGGAGGTGCGCTGCTGCCCGCACTCCCACCCTCGCACCACTGGGGTGGGCGTGGGCACCAGGGGGGGGTGGGTTGAGTATGTACAGGGCATTGAAGTAGGTGGTTAGTCTGGAATGAGGGTGCCGTGGCACGTACCGGACTGTGTGCTGCTAGGCGCAGTACATCCAAGCCTTCCTGGTCTCGCCTAACCTGTGCTCCCTCCATCCCTGCATCACCGCGTGCGCCCCCTGCATGTGTGTGGGGCAGAGCGGCTGCGGCAGTGTGGCGCGCGCATATGGCAGTGCCCCGAGGCCGTGGGCTTCCACTGGCACCCGCCCTTCCATCCCTCTCACCTGCCCGCTCTCATCCGCCAGGTGACCCATCCTCATGCTCACCTCATGCTCACCTCATGCTGACCTCATGCTGACCTCATGCTGACCTCATGCTGATCTCATGCTGATCTTATGCTCACCTCATGCTGACCACATGCTGACATCATCCTGCCTCTTGCTCACTACATGCTGCCTGCAAGCGGCAGCACCACAATCCGATGGTCGTGAGAGCACCACATGCTGTTCCACTCACAAGCTGCCTCCAGCAGTCCTCACATAACACAATCCTAATTGCGGTTCGCCAGGGAACTATGCAAGTGCCCTGAGTTCGACTGTGCTTGTCACTGCACAATCCACTTGCTTTCTACATCGTGTCTGTCCCTCGTTCCTTCTGCCTCCCCGCCTGTACTCTGCTTACCTTGCACGTGACCCCAACTCTCATGGCGCACTCGCATGTGGCGTGGGGCGACAGGAGCGGCAGCGGGGGGAGAACGGGGTGCGGTTCTTCCTCAAGCACCGCACGCTGAACGTGCGCCTCATGGTGCAGATGACGCCCTTCCACGCCGCCCTCTGGTTCCTGCTCACCCTGGGGGGCGCCCTCAACGAGCGCTCCCTGGCCCCACTGCTCGCATGGCTGGTGCAGCAAGGCCATCCCGGAGTGGCCGTGGGGATTCTCTCCCCCGTGCTCAACTGGCACACTGTGCAAGCCACACGGGAAGAGGTGCACCGACTCAGGAAGGCAGGGGTGGATGTGTGAGATCGGCAGGGACAGGTGAAGTTGCACTGAGGTGCTGCAGGCTTGATGATTGTTGTGCATGCGCTGGTACCGTAATCTCCTGGCAAAAAGACACCCCCCTCACCCCGCGTAGAGGCCCCCCCAGGTACTCTTTCCGGACTACGGGTTCTTTATTCCGCCTACTTTCGTGAAGACCCTTCTGTACTTTTTTATTGATAAGAACCCCCCTTTCAATATAATTACACCATAAGACCATATACTCCAATTTTTGTTTCTTACCGTTATTGATAATTTCCACAACACCAAAAAGCTGAAATAACTAAACACTACAATCAGGGCTTCAGATTGGTTTTGGCCCACCCTTTGTAATCAGGTTTCTAGGTAAAGTCAACCCTGATGCTTCGGGTACATTTTTTTTTCCCTGACAAGCGTAAAAAGTTTATTAGACTGAATCAGTCACACTAAAGTTGGCCCTACACTGAATTTCCCAGTGTTGCGATCAGAAGTTGATCGTAGCCAGGATCTCCTCAGGAGGGTTCGCACACTACTGGTTTAGTGGTGGTGGGCCCTTGACCTCAATAGCAGAGTGAATGTAAATGCCTGAGATAATAAAAACATGCAAATACGGCACTATAAATAAGGGTACAGGGGAATACCAAACGACCTAGCTAGCCATGTACTCTAAGGGGTACATTCCGATGTTATAACTGAAGGATCGTAGTGGATTGGATAATGCTGCTAAGTGTAAGAGAGAGAATTGTGAAGTCTCTGTAATGACCTTGTTTAATGAATTGAAGGAGAACAAGATGATTATAAGATAGGAGTACAAGGATATAAATGTCAAAACATATATTGTTCTGTTCATTTCACTCTAGGTTGTGTAGGGTTCTTTCCTTAGAGGGTACAACATTTCACTCTTAGAGGGTCTTATATCCCCCTCCCTTACCTAATCGACATCCTCACCTAGCTAGTAATTCTTACATGGTATTAAGAGCAAAAAGCTCCTTAGGACCGAATTTTTAAAAGAGCCCACCACTACTATTTCGATCTACTGCCCGAGTCGCGCCCCTAGGAGAAAAACGAAATGCGAAAACGTGCCCTAGGCGAAACGGTTCAATTTTTCTACCCTAGGTGCGATTTTTCTGCCTAGTCACGTGCGACCCCCCCCTGACCGCGCCCTAGCTGCCCCGTGCGCCTCTCGCGCGGCCCGTCAGCCCCTACGCCCGGTCCCTCCTCGTTCCTGCTGCTGCGCGCGCCACTCACGCTGCCCGCCAGCCCCTAGCACGCACCTGCTGCGCGCTCCTTTTCAGCTGCTCCGCGCGCACCTGTTGCGCGCCCCTAGGTGCTAGCTCACAGCCCGCACGCGCCTACTGCTGCTGTGCACCGGCTGCTACTGCTACGTGCCGCTGCTGCTCTGCCACTGTGTCCTAGCCGCGCCACCCAGCCCGAACTGTCACTGCTACTAGTGCCACTTCAACTAGTACTGCTACAGCTAGCGCTACTCACTGCTGCTGCTACTGAAGCTCCTGCTGCTACAGCTAGTGCTACTGCTGCTGCCGCTAGTACGGCACTTGCTACTGCTGCTACTGACGCTACTGCTGCTACAGCTAGCGCTACTCACTGCTGCTGCTACCGAAGCTAGTGCTACTACAGCTAGTGCTACTCCTGCTGCTGCTACTACGGCACTTGCTACAGCTGCTACTGACGCTACTGCTGCTACAGCTAGCGCTACTCACTGCTGCTGCTACTGAAGCTCCTGCTGCTACAGCTAGTGCTACTGCTGCTGCTGCTAGTACGGCACTTGCTACTGCTGCTCCTGCTTCGCTGCTGCGCCTGAACTGCTGCTGTAGTACTGCTGCCGCCTGCACTGCCCTGCTACTACTGCTGCTACTTGCTGCAGCTGCTCCTCCTTGCTGCTGCTACTTGCTGCAGCTGCTCCTCCTTGCTGCTGCTGCTGCTACTTGCTGCAGCTGCTCCTCCTTGCTACTGCTGCTGCTACTTGCTGCAGCTGCTCCTCCTTGCTGCTGCTGCTGCTGCTGCTGCTGCTACTTGCCGCTGCTGCTCCGCCACTGAGCCCGAACCGCGCCGCCCTGTCCGAGCCGCGCCGCCCAACCTGAGCTGTCACTGCTGCTGCTGCTGCACCTACTGCTGCTACAGCTAGTGCTACTCGGTCTACTGCTTCTGCTGCTGCTGCTGCTGCTGCTGCTGCCCGAGCCGCCCTGCTACTGCTGCTGCTGGAGGGAGTACTGCTGGGAGTGGTGGAGGTGCGGCCTCCCAGCCCCACCGAACCGCCCTGCTGCTGTTACTACTGCTGCTGCTGCTACCTGTGCTACTGGAACTGGAGGAGGTGCTGCTGGGAGTGCAGGAGGTGCTGCTGGCACTGTAGGAGCTGGAGGTGCTGGAACTACTCCTGACAGTCACTGTCTGTCATGGCCACTTCCGCGGCAGTTGCTGCGGCCAGGGGTGGACAGCAGCAGGCACTGCTTCTCCCGGACGACCCCACCCCTCGGCAGCTTCGTGAGTGGGTTATTCAGCGAGGTCGTCCTGGTGGTGGAGGTTATCGTTCTGTTAGGACCGCTGCTCCAGGTGTTAGTGAGTCTGCTGCCACTCCAGGTGCTAGTGAGTCTGCTGCCGCTCCAGGTGCTAGTGAGTATGCTGCAGCTCTAGGTGCCCGTGAGTCTACCAACGCTCTAGGTGCTAGTGCGTCTACTACCACAGGTACTGCCTCAGCTGAGGTCTTGCACACTTTCACGCTTGACTCAGGCGCGTCACGTTGCTTCTTCCGTGATTGCACCACAGTCACACCACTCACATCACCTGTCCCAGTCTCACTGGCTGACCCCTCTGGAGGCCCAGTGGTTGCGAGAACCTCCACGGTCCTCCCTTGTCCAGCAGTCCCCTCCGGCTCTTTGTCAGGTCTCCACCTCCCCACGTTCTCGACGAACTTAGTGAGCAACGCTGCCATTCAGGATGTCTGGGTTGATACCTTTATTCCTGGAGGGCAGCGTGTGGCAATCTGTACGTGCTCCCGGACTGGCCGTCACCTGGCTACGTTCACTCGACAGCGTGGGTCTAGTCTGTACACACTGACCACTGCGGCTGCACAGGTGGCTGAGTCAGGTCAGGTAGCTGCGTCGAGTCGAGCGTCTGCGTCAGGGCAGTTAGCTGCGTCTTGCTCGTGCAGAGTACTCACGCACGAGACTCAGCGCTGGCACCACCGTCTTGGTCACCCCTCCCTGCAGCGTCTGCGCGGCATGCACTCCCGGCTCCTGGTCTCTGGCCTCCCTGAGACCCTGCCCCCCCTCCCGCGCTCGCTTGCGCCGCCGTGCCTTCCTTGCGTCGAGGGGCGGCAGCGCACCGCTCCTCACTCCTCCGAGTTTCCTCCGACCACTGCTCCTCTGCAGACTCTCCACCTGGACATGTGGGGCCCGACCCCCTTCGGTGGAACGGACCAGGAGTGCTACTTCCTGCTGGTTGTTGACGACTACACACGCTACACCACCGTCTTCCCCTTGCGTCGCAAGGTGGACGTCAGTGGTGTTTTGATCCCCTGGATCCGTGCTACTCGTCTTCAGCTACACGAGCGCTTTCAGCAGGACTTCCCAGTCCTTCGTCTGCACTCTGACAGGGGTGGTGAGTTCAGCTCTGGCGTCCTTGAGACGTTCTGCCAGGATGAGGGCATCGCCCAGTCGTTCACGCTTCCGGCCTCTCCGCAGCAAAATGGGATCGCTGAGCGTCGCATTGGCCTGATCATGGAGGTTGCTCGTACCTCCATGACCCATGCGGCTGCTCCCCATTTCCTGTGGCCGTTTACGGTCCGATACACCGCGCATCATCTCAACCTCTGGCCCCGTGTCTCTGCTCCAGAGACCTCGCCCACACTCCGTTGGACGGGACAGCCTAGTGATGCGTCGTCGTTTCGGGTCTGGGGCGCGCTCTCCCTTGTTCGCGATACCAAAGCGAGCAAGCCCTCTCCTCGCACTCTCCGCTGTGTCTTCCTGGGCTTCCCCACCGACGCTCCACCCTGGCAGTTCTACTACCCTGCCTCGCGTCGTGTTCTGTCCTCTCAGGACGTCACCTTTGATGAGTCGGTCTGTTACTACCGACTTCACCCGCACGCGTCCCACCCGGTCCCCCTCGCACCTCTCTTCCTGGTACCAGTCCCCCGCCCGGTAGACCCCCTTCCCCCACAGGGTCCTGCTCCCTCAGGTGTGTCCCAGGTAGACCCACCCCCCTTGGATGAGCCAGTTGAGATCTCTTCTGACTCCTCTGACTCACATGAGGGGGGGTGACGCCGTCGCCGACGACACGGCGACCACTCGCCGCACTCCTTGCTTGGAGACCCCCCTCGGGTTTCCCGCCACGGCCGTCTTTGCCGCATCCGCAGCCTGCAGCTGTGGACTCTGGAGCTGAGACTTCTGGAGCTGGGGCTGGGGGTGGTGAGTCTGGGGGTGCCCGCTCTTCTCGTCTGGCTACCCCCCCCGGGTTCCCACCTCTGCCATCTTCGCCGCCTCTGCAGCCTGCTGCTGTGGACACTGGAGCAGAGATTGAGGGTACTGAGCCTGGGGGTGCTGGGACTGAGGGTAGTGAGCCTGCGAGTGCTGAGACCGAGAGTCCTGACTCTGGGGGTGCTGCGAGTTCGGGTGCTGACTCTGGGGGTGCTGCGAGTTCGGGTGCTGACTCTGGGGGTGCTGCGAGTCCTTCTGGTGTTGGTGTCGTCGGAGCTCCTACCGGAGGACCTGGAGCTACTGGTGCTGGAGGTCTTGGAGGTGCTGCTAGTGCTGGAGGTCATGGAGCTGCTGGTGCTGGAGGTACTAGAGGAGCTGCTGGTGCTGCTGGTCCTGGAGGTGCTGCTGGTGCTGGAGGTCGTGGAGCTGCTGGTGTTGCTGGTACTGGAGGTGCTGCTGGTGCTGGAGGTGCTGGAGCTGCTGGGGCTGGAGGTCCTGGTGGAGCTACTGGTGCTCTTCGCCACCTTCTCAGTCTTCAGCCAGGTGCTACTGGCTTCCCTATGGCAGGTACTA